AAATTCAGGCTCAAAAGTCTTCGTGCCAACCATCTTTCCGGGTCTAGTCATTAGCCCTCCTGAATTTGTCGTACCCTGCAAGACCTCACGACATGTCACCAAGGATGAGGTCGAATTGCGGTTCAATGATAAGGTGTGGAAATCAGCATCGAAGAACTACGATCCCAGGTAAGGAATATGCGTTTTCGGTACACCATACTTACGGTAACCTATATCTTCCAGGATTGGCTTCAAAGTCAACAGTAAAAACGCTGAGGAAAAAATTAGTGATCAGTTGCAATTCGTATGCATCTATAAAGGAGAACCAAGCGATACGGCTACTTATTTCATAATTATTAGCGAAGCTCAAAAAAATGATCTCGAACTCATATTTGAAGAGGTAAGAGACCAGTGGAATAATTCAATCATTGGTTGCTTCTCTAAGCTTCGTGCTCTAATTCTTACTCCTTTTAATGTAATGTGTAATTTTGCGTAATTCTCTTCCATTCCAGCCAGATCCATGGCCCTATGTTGGCGGACAATACTCGCTGATTTGCATCCTCAAACCCAAAACAAGAGGTCGTATGGAAGATAAATACCAGCATTACCTTAATTTAACCTGTCCTAGATGTACAGTAAGTGTTCAACACGTCACCCTTTTTGAGCTAATTCACTTGAGTTATTTCCAGCATTCTGAAGTCAGGCACACAAAATCTATTAGAAATGACATGTTATCGCACACTGTCACAATCGACACCCTGACTCCTGAAGACAGTGGGCAATATGCCTGTAGTTGGTATTTTGAGCAACAACTCAATAAAACGATTGAGCACACCGTAGTAGTGTCTCCCAAAATGGAACAAATCAAGGTGGGTATACTTGAGTTGCAGTGAAGTTGGCTACCTTTTGAGCGCTACAAATAGTATAATGAATATTTTGAAATATTTATCAAGGCTATAGGCTACCGCTTGATTGTTTTCCAAACACTATGGAAGCAAATATTAACTGATTTTGACCGCTTCACGAAGTTGTTATACGCTTTCTAAAAAATAAGTTAACCCACCTAAAGGCTACTCTGCAGCATGCTTTGTTAACAGCCTTGATGATTTTTTTCTATTCAAGGTACTCAATCGAACACTACAAGAAGTGAATGTAATGGAGGGCAACTCGATCACTTTATCTGCTGATCTTGCAGCTTTTCCGCATGAATTATCAGGATTTAATGCCAAATGGATTAGGGTAAATAATGCAAGATATAAAGATTTGGTACGGACGGTGTATGGATTTTGATTTTTACAGAAATATATCAAACCTCCAAAGACAGTGAATGAAACGGAGAACTTGGTGAATGATAATGATCGTCAAATCTCGAGCGAAAGATTAAGTGGTGGACGGGTGACTGAAAAAATCTCGATCAGGAATGCTGCAACCGATATGAGTGGAATGTAAGCAGCATCACATGTCTGCAAATCGTAAAATTACGTCCCAATCCGATCTTTTTGATTCCAGATACGTGCTGACCATAGAATATAAGGACACAGTGCGAACCATAGAGTGGAGGGTTAGTGATTATTTTTTTGTATCTGCTTGACTCATCTGCTTTCTTGGGTATTTTTTTGTCAAGTACGACCTATCACTTTGAACTTTGCTAGCAGCTAAAACACTACCTTTCTATCTCAGGATGTAGTCGCAAAGTTTTTCAGAAAAAAAGAGAGGAAAACTCCGTTGTCAGAAGTGTTTCCTTCACAACCATTTTTTTAAATAGTATACTATATTCCATCTGCTGCTTAAATATGAGCAGAAATTCTGAAATTCTTGGCCGTCATTCAGCTGCACTCTCAAAAACCAAGCGTTGCTAGCTTTCAGTGTTTTGTGCAGTCTCTAAGTGTTAACGAAAGCCGAAGGTGGTAGAGGGAGATGCAGAACAATCGTAGTCTTTATTATTATACAATAATCAAATAACTTTTCCCTTCCTACGGTCACTTTTGCCTGATCGACTTGCAGGCGCTCGCGCGTTTAGAGTCTTTCTCTGTATTCTGGTAAAAATCAGAAAGATCTTATTTCATGACACCACATTTTTCCATGTGAAATACCATGCAAAGCTTTGCTAAAAGTCACATTTTCTTACCAAAAAA